TAAATGATCTAAAGCTGACCACATCGGTCTGTGTTGTGTTTTAGATTTATTGAAAAAGAAAAAAAAAACTATTTAGAAATTCCACTCACATGAATTAATTGACGAAAGAAATACACAAGTTGCAGGTGTAAAAATAAATGAAGGCAAATATTCATGTCTAGTTGAGAGTAAATTACATTTGTGTAATCATTTCGGAAAATCCTTGTGATATATGTCTTTAGTTGAACCAAAACACCGTTGGACAGAAGAATTGTAGATTCTGCCAAATTAAATGGCATTGCTTTCTAGAAATATCTATCATTCGTCTTTTCTATGGCTGAAAGCCAGAGCTTAGTCGAGAAATTCACACTATCCAAAAGCGAAGTTTTAGTTCAACGAGCAGAATAACAACAAACAGGAAGTTTAGGCTTCTATAAATGTGAAGATGTTTATATTACTGCACAGAAAATAAACTAAATGATTATAAAAATTTGGTTTTGCCAAAAAAAAACAACAAAAAATATAATAAAAAATAAAACAAACAAAAAAAAACTTTGGTTTGTTTACTAACATTTTTTTCTACAGCCAAACATTTCATATAATGTACTTTGGATTGATGACAATATTTTCGAGATAAATGTTTATCAATTCGTACAGGAAATGATGAATTTAAATTAAAATCAGATAGAAAAATGATTTTACGTCTAATCAGAAGTAGTATCTGTCTATATTTCTGAGATGAGGTATTATGTACACAATTTACATTATTCGGACTATTGTCCTCATCTTTGTCGCCATATTTATTACAACGTTTCGGACGCTGTACGCTGCGGCCTTCTTCAGGTGGTTGGAATGTCGAACTGAAGCCTTTATTTCGCTCACTGGGGTAGACTGTTCTAGTTCCACGTGCTATGTTTAGTGGATGTTAGTTATCAGTTATCTAATGCTTCAAGAACAACAGAAAGCTGTAACACGAGGGGAAGTGGAGAAATCAGGCGTCGCTGACCACATATGGAGAGAAAAGGGAGATCACCATCCTATGTGGGATCAGGTTGAGATCATAGACAAAGCCCACCATTGGAAAATTCGTAAACTTAAGGAATCAACACATGTGCTAAGCCCCAAAAATCTCCTGAGTTGACCAAGCATAGAAATGTATACAATATGCGAACCAGTAATAAGGAGTGCCAGAAAAAAGCGATAATAACAGCAAAAATTGCAATATGGTCACTGGTAAAAAATATGATGCTGAAGACATTTGGTTTATAATACCCAGAAATTCATACACAGCTGTCCTCAAGGAAACACAAAACATTAGATAAAGGAGTTCGTTAGAACCAGTGATAGGACTCAAAGAGTGTCAATTCAATACCCGGAATTAACAGGAGATAATTGGACAGTGACGCTTACTTTCTCAATGAATATACTGTCCAGCATTTATTGAATTTTATGAGGTTTCTTAATCTTTAATCAACAAAGTAGCCATTTGTGACACCTCGATATCGCTTAATCAGGGTCAGGGACGATTGTTATTGAATGTTGAAAGACGGTTACCATGGCGGCAGGTCAGAGTGGTTAAGGGTTCAGCTCTTTTGAACAAACGTTGAAGTTTGAATATAAACGAGTCAGGAGATATGACTGTAGCATATCATGTTGTAAAAGCTAGTGTTTAATTTTTAACGGATTGATGGATCTACTGCTAGGGTTCGTAAAGGGTGGGGCACAGATCTTTTTGCAACTCTTTAGTCTGGCTACATTTCTTTTTGCATACCTTCCACCTATGGACTTTTCTCAGCGAAATAACAGAATCTCACTGAACACGGGTGACATGTAACTATTTCTATGAACACCTGTATGGCGTTCAAGTCCTCCGCTTCCACTGACATTAAAACCCCATGTTGGAGGTTTTCTAATTTCTCCGAAGCCACAGTCAACAAACAAAACATATGGACGTCACTGGAACCTGTCATTCATACGATGTTACGAATAAGATCAATAAATACATCCATCCTAAAAAACTACTGTCTGGATTTTATTTCCACGGTTATTCATTTGAATAAGTGCAGTGGTTTCTCGTTGTTGAGTGGATTCACGTTGCTCTCTCCACAATAACTTTACTGAGTTCCTACACCCTTTAGTAGGACTTATTTTCACAGTATACAATAGCCAATCACCTTGAAAGACGAAGGATAAACTTGAAACGGCACTGATGTAATTACCCCTATCAATGATAAGAATGCCAAACAGACCATTAACAGAACATGATCTATAAGGAAGTTTTAAGGAAAATACAAAGAAGGAAATTGATAGTTACAACCTGCAAGGAATTTTTGAAACCCTGATATACGTCTGATATACGTCTATACTAGTCCAAATATATTTGAATTTGTAGCAAACGAATAAATCGTTTTGGGTACTGCAATCAAGACAGCCGTCACTTCAGACAGAGACGCTTTAAAATGTAAGAAAATATGCTTGGTGCCATGATATCCTAACTTCGGATAAATAAAATTCTTTATAGCAGAAAATAGAAGTTGGCACAAGTAATGTAGAAATATTTATCTCCAGAATGTACCTCCAGAAATATTTATCTCCAGAATTTATCTCCAGAATGTAAATATAAAAGTGAACATAGAAGTCAACACTTAGAGGCGACAGTCTGTTTCAGGCCTGACGATTGCATATAGCATGAAACAGACTGTCGCCTCAAAGTGTTGACTTCTATGTTCACACACACACACACACACACACACACACACACACACACACACACACACATATATATATATATATATATATATATATATATATATATATATATATATATGACTACCATTTGTCTATGCTTTGAATATTTCTGCTACATATGGTCCGGTGCTCCTACACATTGCTTAGATTCTTGATAAAATCCAAAGAGGAATCTGCAATATTATTTGTCATGACTTTACATCTCGGTTTCATCACTTTCCCATCGCTGTAATTAGGATTCTCTATGCCTTTTCTGTAAATATTTTCATGGTAATTCGTCTGATAAATTCTCATCTTTGGTACCTGTAGTTTATGAATTTAAGCGCAGTACTTGATTGGCGGCAAGGTCCCATCATAGTAAGCTTCTTTGCCACTTTTGCTCAACGTCTGTTTTGTCAGTCTATCCATCATTTTAAGATCATAGTAATGTTTATGTGAAAAACAATCTTTCTTGAATATCATGTGTACCTTAGAATGTAGCATGTCTGGTAATGGTAGAAATGAACAATGAAGAATATTTGTGCTTTGTATAAAGGTAAATTTATGTGTGTAAATGCTAACGCTGTAATTGTCATCTTACATATAATCTTCGATTTCGAAGACCATCCAATTTATTTAATGACATTGGATATTGAAGCAGTTGTTGAGAGGAATCACATTAAGACAACTGAACGTTAACAAAAAGGCTAAATGCATTACATTGAATTCCATACGAATATTCCAAGCTAATTGGAAATAAATCCAAGGAGAAAATTTAGGTTTCCCGTTAATTCTCACCAGGAGTGAAAGAAAAGCGTCAGCGTAGTTACAAAGATCGTTTGTGAAGGAATTTTAAACATTCTTTTCTTCACCATATCTTTTCAGATTGTGTATTAATAACGATAGGATAAAGCAATGGCTATCACCATTAGTCACATCGAACCCAATCAGAAATTAAACTTCATTTATAAAATTTATTTGTTAAACAACTAGTTGAACATTAAATATTGTGTTTACTGTTGTTCACTGGAGTCTGAAGAAGCTATCACTACAGGTATATTTCCTAAAAAATCAAGTGGCGAAATCATAAAACATTGATGAAGATAACATATTTCATCTCAGTCAGTTATGTTCCATGCGTGTTCAACGAATAGGGAATCACGTACCTTTCGATACATGAATGACGATGCAGATTTTTTCCGCAGTAGGTTGCCATTTCTTTCTGTGGTAGAGCAATTGCAATACAAGGCTACATAACCCATAGCTGGGTGGTGGAGAATGTTACGGTTTTTTGGGTATATACCACATATGACTAGTGAGCGAGTCAGAATGACTTATTTCCCTTTATAGTCGACCAATAGAAGGTTGACCAATCAGAAGCCGCACAACACTGTATTCGTCATGTATAAAGGCGGCCATCTTGTTTCCTCTACCGGAAGGACCAAAGGCGACCAGGAGAAGGATGAACTAAACTCTGCTGTGATATCCACTGCGAACCTAAAGTACGCTTTCCTACTGTCTCCGAAATATTCACTGCCAACCTTTGGATTCTATACTCGAGGACGACTGTCATGAAAATGTCTAACAGAGAAGAAGAGGATTCATATTTTTCTCAAGGGTATTGGCACGTAAGTGAATGTAATGGATTCGACTGGTATTCGAACTCGGCTCTTGGATTTCTTAATCCGAGCCGTTATCCATTGTTTCACCGTGCCTTCTAGTTCATCTGGCAATCTAAAAGTCACGGTCTTGTCTCAATGAAGAAAAAAAAAAATCAAAGAGGAAGTAAATATTAATTCTTTAACGTTTCCATGATCCTCTATAGAAAAGCTGGTCTTCGGATTTGTAATTATCGTAATGAATAGAATATTTCCTTCGGAAAGAACTGTTGGAATGGCTACATAAGGATATTGGTAAGGATATTGGTAAGGATATTGGAATGATCCAGACGTTAAACCGTCTGTATACGGACAGAAAATGAATTCGGTAAATATAGAAAAATAAAAATGAATATAAGACAAGGATGTGTCTTCGAATTCCAGTAAAATCCATTACTTTCACTTATGTGCTAATACCCTTTGGAAATGTATGAATCATCTTCTCCCCTCCCCCAGCTATGGGTAAATAGCAGGACAGACCGCGTTCTATAGCCTTGGATGGCAACTGGTCTACCGCAGAAAAAAATGGCAACCTACTGCGGAGATGAAAATCTGTCTCGTCAGTCATGTATCGAAAGATGCATGATCGCCCAAGCGTGTATTATGCAAGGCACATAACTAATCTATCTATCTCAGAATGTTTACACATATGCATCTATCTATCACAATCTGCTGATATCTATCTATCTATCTATCTATCTATCTATCTATCTGTCTATCTATCTGATCCATTACATTCACTTATGTGCTAATACCCTTTGAAAATGTATGAATCATCTTCTCCCCCCAGCTATGGGCAAATAGCAGGACAGACCGGGTTCTATAGCCTTGGATGGCAACTGGTCTACCGCAGAAAAAAATGGCAACCTACTGCGAGATGAAAATCTGTCTCGTCAGTCATGTATCGAAAGATGCATGATCGCCTAAGCGTGTATCAGGCAAGGCACATAACTAATCTATCTATCTCAGAATGTTTACACATATGCATCTATCTACCACAATCTGCTGATATCTATCTATCTATCTATCTATCTATCTATCTATCTATCTATCTATCTATCTGATCCATTACATTCACTTATGTGCTAATACCTTTTGGAAATGTATGAATCCTTTTCTCCCCACCCCGCAGCTATGGGTAAATAGCAGGACAGACCGGATGACAACTGGTCTACCGCAAAAAGAAATGGCAACCTACTACGGGATAGAAATCTGTCACGTCAGTCATGTATCGAAAGATACATGATCGCCTAAGTGTGTATCACGCATGACATCTATCTATCTCGGACTGTTAACATGTATGCATCTATCTATCAGAGTCTGCTGATATCTATCTATCTATCGAATCCATTGCAATCACTTACGTGCTTATACCCTTGGGAAAGGTATGAATCCTCTTCTTCTCCCCACCCAGCTATGGGTAAATAGCAGGACAAACCGTGTTGTATAGCCTTGGATGGCAACTGGTCTACCGCAGAAAGAAATGACAACCTAGCGCGGGAAAAAAAAAACCTGCCTTGTCAGTTACGTATCGAAAGATAGATGATCGCCTAAGCGTGTATCACGGATGGCACATAACTGATTGAAGTGTCTTCTTACTTATTGTCTTATTCAAGCTACACATAAGCTAATTCTGATTGAATATATGTCCTCTGTGTCGATGATATTTTTAATTTAGCTGAAGATAAAAAAATAAATCGGTTAACTAAAAACTGTATTTTGAGAAAACTGTCCTTAGCTACAAACTTGGTAAAAAAATAACTCCAGTTCTTAGTAGCTATAATAGAGTCTATAATTACAAATATACCACTTATTTTTATAATATATAAAACAGAGGAAGGGAGACAGATAAAGAGAGGTGGATGAGAATAGATGAATTTTGGATGGGTGACACTTATTAAGTGAAATTTGTTCTGATTCTTAATATTAAAATGGATTTTGTTAATTGCAGCGACAAGGAGGGAGGACTTTTTGAAAAAACTATATATATATTAGATACACAACCGTTTATCTCGCGCGATAATGCCAACGGTGTTTGTTAAATATGTAGCCGTACCGTACATCCAAAGTGCTCATTATATTTAGGATCGTCTTGACTGCAGGTTTTGCCAGAAGTTTGTCAGTGTTGGTATCTGTGTGTTTTAGATTATATATATATATATATATATATATATATATATATATATATATATATATATATATATATATAGTTGGTTACATGTGAGTTTGTGACCCAGGGTTTCACGCTAGGTCACAAACTGACATCAATCCAACTAAATATAACTGATATTTAGCACTTCCCAACAAGTACCGCGCATATACAATATATAAGATATAAAAATACATATATATATATATATATATATATATATATATATATATATATATATATATATATATATATATATATGCACATTTTTCATATATATATATATATGTATATTGCCCATGTAATAACCAGTAATTCTACCCATAATTCACCACGGGCCACAATACATAAATAGTTGAGCCAAACCACAACACACATGACCTGAAGATTGCATTGAAGAAAGAAGTAAACTATGGCCATCGTTTGTTAACCACTTTTTCCAATACTAATACAGACAAAAAACTGTAATTGTAAAACGCTAATAATCAATTCGTATAAAAATACAAATGATAATCGTAATATAAATAATAATTGAAAAATATAACTCAGAATAATGTCATTATATATATACAGACATTTTTATGTTTATACATTTTTTATTGATACAAATATTTACGTAAATGCACTTTTTATAATAAAGAGTATTAAACAACATTTAGCAGACTGTCCGAGAAACTGGCACAGAAAATATTCGTCCTCCGACGAGATTCGAAACTCTATCCTATACGGAACCGTCATTTAGCTTGACGTGTCTGTAACCGATTTGGCCACAGAGGAGCGTTCGGTTAGCAAGGTCGAATTTACTGTCTTTAAACTTCAATCTTCCATGAATCTCACACGTACATTCATATCTGCTGAAAGCCCATCCAAATGTAAACAACTGACGTCACACATTATGAAATAGACAATGTCCGACAATTATTTTAAGACACTTTTTTTATATACCGAGAAAAATTTTGGTAGAAAGAAGTATGACAATTCGGAAAATGTTTTCGTGTGATGCGATTTGTTTCGTGCTCTAAAGTCCTGAACGACGAGTCCTTGGTATGACGATGAATTCCATCCGACAACAAAGCCTCTGATCGGGCGGTTGGTGGGGTTTTGGAATGTGGAACGAACTTTTAATTGCTGTTGTTCTCAGACCCACTCTGTTCCGATGTGGTAGCACCTGTTAGGGTCAAATAGTGAAATAAAAAAAACACTATGAAAGTAAAAAAATACATTTTTACATTAAAAATACCTGCAATATATATCGATATAAAAATTACTACCGAAACATACTTAAAATAAAATTACCAACAATACATTTTTAAAGTGAATTACCAAAAATATATTTTATAGCAAAATCACCAACAATACATTTTATCTGTAGCTGAAGCCATAGAATTGTTAAAATATTTAGATTACGGCATTAAATAACCCATAGTGATTGATATGCCACTAAACAAATTCAACCAACCTAAAGGATGAAACGTATACACAAAGCATCTATATTACTTACCGATTTCTCTTTTTGGGTTTCTAACAACCATATAGCAATAATGGCACATCATAGCTAGATTTTAATTAGAGCAATGCAGCTAAAATTTTATAAGTTCAATAAAGCATCTCTCATCGAATTTGAAAGTTACTATTTATAGTAAAAGTTCAAGTTCCCGTCGACAATTATAAATTACCGATTTTTAAAGGAAAGAACAGTAGTCATATTAATGTTGTTTAACGCTAATTATTGAGGAGATTCGGTTATCTATTTGAAAGTATTTGTCATTATAATAATTTACGAATTTCTGTCGACTTGTTAACGTAAAACATAAAAATCCTACTGACTAGTTGTGTTTGAGTAACAGTCTCGAATGATCTAAACGAATAAATACATTAATAGTTTAATTTGAAGTAATGTAGAAATTTGTATTCTCTCTTAGCCTGATGTTAAGGGCCATAACCGTAGAAATTATATTCAAAAACAGTTTCCATTATATTTCAAATAATTATAAAATCAATTCAATAATTTAGTAGGGCACTGCCATCAAGCTTAAGAGCCGACAAGGGCGACGTTTCAGCAGTTATATTGCAAGAATCTTACATAAGAACTGAAAACAAATGTACAAGTCTTACTCGGAGAAGGAGTTTGGTAAAATACTGTCGTGTATCTGAATTACGTATTAATTTTTTTTTTAATCATTTCACTGTACATATTGTTTGTCTTGTGGGTCCTTGTGACCATCTGAATGTTTTGAATTTAGTTAGTTTGTTTCATATCGTTTGATTTTTGAAATTATCTTAATCAACATTTGATAGTCCTCCATTAGGCTTTAGTCCATGGGGAATTAAAAAAAAACAAAAAACAAACTTGTATTCTTCAACCTCCCAGATTCTGTTAGAAAGCTTTGTGTCCCAACTTTGATTCGAAATTGTCAGCTACTGAACCATTCATATCTCTATTATAGTAATCAAAATTATCAGGTTTAACGGTATTATCAAGTTTAACGGTATTATCAGGTTTAACGGTATTATCGAGTTATTTGTGAAATGTACTGACCATGTTAAAGATATTTACTGTAGCAGATATTTTGAAATCATTTCAACAAATAAATTAGCAAGACTAGGCTATTTTTTCTGATGTCGAAATGACAATTATATTTAACGAATTTTATTAACTATCGAACAAGTTATCATTGTTATAATAATAATAATAATAATAATAATAATAATAATAATAAGTGACAGTAGGGGATGAGCACCATCGTTGGATGTCAAGGTTGGAGGATGAAGCAGACTAGACGACATGGGGTCATATCTCGACACTCAAACGGCGACTGTCTGAACAGACTGAATTATCCGAATTAAAGATACTTATAATTAGACATCTGCAAGTTTATGGGCTGTTTTTTTCAAAACCTGCCATCATATCGTACAATGTGATTAAGATGAATGTGCCTTGTATACCCTGATGGGTGTATGTTCGGCTTTGTACCCGGTCGCCATATTATGGTACTGCAACTCTTTCACTGATAATAATAATAATAATAATAATAATTATTATTATTATTATTATTATTATTAAACCAAATGGTTGCCGTAACTCTTCCAATATTTTTCAATACTTAAAAGAAGAACGTGATTTAAGGAAAATATGTTAAATAATGTTTGACAATGTTAAGCAATATTTCGACAGTATATCTGTTTTCTTCAAGTTATATATTTTTTTTTAAATCAGGTACAAAAATATATAAATCTATAAATAATGTACAAGTTACTTGTTTTGTAATGAAAAGAAAAACGGATATACTGGTAACCATTGCGTCAAAATGAATGAAACACCGCTAGCGTGAAGACATGAAACTGAAACTTGCTTAATATGATGGTGATGTTGTTACTAAGAGAAATTAGTCAAACAGATTAGTATAAAACATATGGAACTCTACTGTCATTCTGTTTATTCGCCCGAGGCATAAATTTAGTAATTTGCTTACGTCATTATCCTCATGCTACTTAAGGGTGAAAATGTTGGCAGATTGTGAATATTTGTTCAGAATGTGCACCTTCAGTTGCTTGCTGAAATTACAATCATTTGTGCTAAAATATCCTGCAAGCTGCATTGATGTTACGCTATTTCGTTTAATTTTTTCCCTTGCGCAACATAAATCAAATCATGTTTGCTACATTAGTCGGCGTATTTAATAAAATGGGAATCAGAATAATTGTCACGCACTCTAATAAAAATGATAAAAAATAAAAACAGCTGATAGATTTTAGCTAATTTAAACGTTCACACTCAAAACTCCATTAGAGTTTCAGTTCGTTGTTCTCCAAACAAACACTCATAGAAGAGGAAAACTCTGTTCTTTGTGCAACAACGTGAGTCAAGTCACTTCTGCCACAAATTCAGAGAAACATCACGATTTCTACAGTTTA